GGGGGGGGGGGGGGTCGTTCGCAGTGCGTTTGTGGGGTGAGCAAGAAGGGGAACTGCCCCAGCGCGGCTCCAAGGAGCCGGCGTTGCACGGTAATGGGCTTTAGAGGGGCGTTTGCTCGCGTCTTTAGGGCTATTTTACCCGGTCCAGAACTAACATGAACAAATCCGTAAAGTTGTCGCCGCTGGCATCCAGCCTGTGTCCGCGCACGATCCATTCGAGTTTTCTGCAGCGTATCCTCTGGGACGAGCAGGTGGCGGTCCTCTCTACTTGCGCCCAGCTAGGGAGGGGTTTGCACATTGCAAGGAGAAACAGAGAAAGGAAGAGCAGGTCGCCCTGCTCCCGGGACCCGCCGCTGGAGGATGGGGGCTGGCGAGCGGGGACCCAGTCTCCCAAAGAGTGCGTGTTTCGCCGGAAACGTTATTGGCGCTGGGGCCGAGCCCCTAGGCTCGCCCTTCAGGAGAGAAAAAGTCCCTGTAAAAGGGCGTTTAGTGGATTCACAGGGTCAAATCTGACCCATCAGCATCTCCTTAACCAAATGTTAACATGAAACTAAGAGAGTTATCTCGAGGGCAGCACAGCTGGCTACAGAGAAAATGCCGTTTCTTTCCGCGGAGCTGCATAATCCAAATTGAGTCTGTTAATGGAATGTGGAGGTTTCCTTGTATTTGGGCCACATCGCCAATTATGATAGAAAGAACTTCTGGAACTCACACATCTACCGCCGCAAGGACCTACCCCTCCCCCGTCTCCTCCGCCCCCCCACCCCCCCCACTCCGCGCGCTTCTCTTCTCTTGGGCATTTCAGCAGCAACTAGCTTCCCAGGAGGAGGAGGGCAAAGGAGTATTTCTCTTACCCAGTCTGAAAGGAAGGTCTTTGCCTTTTCTCTTAGGGCCTGATCAGGTCCGAAAGCGCAGGTTTAAAGATTTGAATTGGGGTGCATGCTGTCTTGTGTGTAGAGACAATATCAAATGGATGCCTCAGATCCTTAAGACCATGGAAGTAACTGAAGGAGATTTCTAGCATGCAAGTTGTTTGAAAGGCAGCAGTACCTGTTTAAAAATGCAAGCTCCAGAATTAGCGAAGGAACCTGTGGTTATTAAAGAGGGGCAAATAGCATCTTCCTGTAATTTGGATCCTGATGTCGTTTTATGAGTACTAGGGAGAATAGTCTACCCTTAGGATGGTGATAGAGTATGTCTTCATTTCAGTGTGACTCTGAATATGTGTTCATTTGCAGCTTGTGCTTTTAGCTGGTCTAGTTCCTTTATTTTCTTACTGAAAATCAATACTGCCACCTTTTACGACTATGTCTCCTTGAGTCACAGACATTGCACACATTATACTTAAATGGTTTCTCACTCTTAGATTTTCACTGAAAGTATTAAGTCATACAGGGTGGGCCACGGCAGCCTCACCTTTATGGATGAGTACAGGATGCTCAGTGCCTGCTGAGGGTTAGAGACCAAGGAAAGTGAGATCTGGTTGTTTGCACATAAAGATCTATGCTTTCTTCTTCACTCAGATGCTCCAAAATAGAACCTTGTACTTATTTTTTGAAAAATTACCTCTTTTGTTATTTAAATCAAAGTAACAGTTTTGTTTGCTTTCTCAAATACATATCATGAAACATATTTTGTTCTGATATTTTCTTGTGCACTTGCTTTCAGTTAGAAAGGGGGCTTTGCTTCCAGTGAAATTTTTTTGTGATATTCTCTTGCCCCTTTGAAACATCTACAAACATTTTAGTGAAATAATATTTATGAAAGTGCTATGGAAAATTAAATTAGCATAACAATGTAATTTTATTTTCATTCAAGCTCATCTGTCCTATGTTGTCTACACTATGATGTTTCAAGTAGTTTGATGTTAATTTCTAATTAGATATTTAAAATCTAAAAACCCATAACAAATATAACCCAGTATGTTATTGCCACACAAAGCATGAAAATGTAATGTTGACTTTATGATAGACAACATTCTGAACACATGTGACACCTTCAGATTTAGATGTTGCAGAGATTAGGATGAGTGTATCATGTGAAATTCAAAGGTGATATATGGTAGTTTGACCCCTTTGATCTGTCTAATCAAATGGATGACTACCATTTTTATTATGTTAAAAAATGAATAATTATAATGGAGATCATATGCATGAGAACAGCCTACTGTTATTTTGCTCATGCTTTAAAAGCCAATCCAGTATTAAGGCCATAAATAAATTATGGCTTCAAATGGTACGCATATTCAGTCATCCCAATAACAAAGTGTGGACTCTGTCCAGACTTCAGAGGCATTGCTTAATCTGAAAGTCAATAACACAATGTAAAGTGACAGATAGAGAATATATTTCCACTCAATTTGCTAAAAATGAGAATAGTTTACCTCTCCTTTTCTAGTTTAAAGGCTACAGGACTAATCCCCAGATTGGACAAGAGAAAAGTGACAGAAATTGAATGATTAAGGATTGGAATACATTCAACCCATCTTTAAATTTGATTGCTGTTATTGGTTGGTTGATACTTAAGATGAATACCCATTAAGAAATAAATGTATGTGAGGGAATTCTCCCATTCTTAAGGCATGATTAGAAGATACAAGGAAGTTATGTTTATACCATGAATTCTAGATTTTGAACTCTACTTGTAAATTTCAGGAAAAAGTAAAATTTCTGGGCCCTGCGTAGAATGTTGTCTTATTAGCTGCAAATAGTGTCTTGGTTCTTAGAATCTTTCGCCTCCTGTTCTGCCTCATAACACCTATGGCTTTAGAATGCATTAGGTTTGGGAAAGAATGGAAGTCTTATTCTCTGTAGGATCCCATATTTACTTTAGGTATAATGTAAAAGTGAAGGTTATGATCTAGCAAAGAAGAGGAGCATGGGGCCACTTTTCAACTCTAACCCACTCTGCTCTGTCAGCCCTCCCTGGGGCTGGATCACTTTGAGAGTCACCATTTAATACAGTTTGGCTATCCCAGAAGACGGTGTAACATTAGGCTGGTGTCCTTTGGTGGTATATGCCTTGATTGACTTCCCCCCCCCCCCCACAAAGTTAGAGAGTTGCAGTGGCTACTCCGCTAAGTCGCCTGGCCTGATGTCAGTTGTGTGTGTAGAAGTTCCTGATGCTGTTTATGGAGATGGGGGTGTCTTATTTTCTCTCCTGCTTGTTCAGTTAGCTTTTGCCACAGTGTGGTTAAGAGTGGGGCTCTGGTTAGATAGGCCTGGGCAAAGGACCCACAGTCACCAGGATGTACATTCACAGTCCTCCATAAGGAGTTGCAGGTTTAGTGGGTGATTCAAGGAGACAGTCCCTGCCTATACTCCAGTGATGCACAGTCCCCTTATGGCAGGGGTTCAGTAAGTACTACAAAAGAAATTTTTCTTCACTCTTCTTACCTGTGCAGGTTGGCAGGTGTCTTAGTTCGGTCTGCTATAACAGACTGGGTGGCTTTTAAACATTCATTTCTCACAGTTCTGGAAGCTGGGAAGTCCAGGATCAAGGCACAGGCAGATTTGGTGTCTGGTAGGTCCTGCTTCCTGGTTCATAGATAGCCGTCTTTTTGCTGAGTCCTCACGTGGTGGTGGTGGTGCTGGTGGTGGTGATGGGGGAGCTCTCTGACGACTATCTTGTTCATGTGGACTCCAGCCTTATTACCTGATCACCTCCCAAAGGCCCCACCTCCAAATGCCAGCATATTGAGGATTGGGTTTCAACGCGTGAATTCGGCTGGGGTGGAGGGGGGCATAAGCATCCAGATATCCAATCCGTAGCAGCAGGGTATTTTCCACATCTTAGTTGCCTGGCCTGCTGGGAGCTCCATCCTGATACTTGTTTTCATGATTGTCAAGTCAGCTGAAGGGAAGCTGGTGAATCATGTAATGCCTTACGGTACTTCTACCCAGAAGTGGTGCATCTATTTGGCTCATGATAGTTGGCCAAAGAAAGTTTCCTGGCCAAGGCTTTCTTGAAAGGGTGAGGAAGGTGCATTCAACCAAGACCCAGAAGAAGGAGAAAGAGAACATCCATGACTAGCTCATAAGGATGACCATGAGACATAAAGCTCTTAGCACAGCATATGGCCCATGCTCAGTGCTCAACACACAATACCTATAGGTATAATTGCTCAGGTGTTGCCTGGCTGAGCCTACGCTCTCCACCCAAAGAGCTTCCAGATTTCATATTTGAGATCAGCCTGCCTGAATTATAGTTCTGGACCCAGAAGTGTATGGATCCTTTTGTCAGCAAAGCCAGCTCACCATTCCTGGCCTGTTAAGTTGCCTCTTTGCCTGGCTTCTGGTCCATTTTCTGGGGGCTTCTTTCCTGGGCCACTGGGCCCCTGTTTGTTCCCTGCCTGGCCATTCTGAGGCTGACTCTTG